AACCCTTATTCCAAGTTATTTTAATGTGTAAAAAGCATTGTAATTGTTATTTTAAAATCTAAAATGAAGTGATTTTTAAAAATTCTTCTAAATGAAAAGGAATAAAAATTGTTTAATCCTACATGCTTTCTAACATCTGTAGTTCAAAGTACTTAATTCACACTGACACCAAAGTTTGGTTTTTGTTTGGTTTTTGTTTTGACTGGAAGAGTCTGATATTATTTTTGTCTGCAAAGGAAAGAGTTGTATAGCATCCAAGTGGGAAGATGTTTGATGGTAATGCCATCAGAATGATTTGTAACTAAAAGCAGAGATTGTACAGGAGGAGAAATAGCAGCTGTTAAAAACTTAGACAATATGGAATTTTTTGTCAGGGACTTAACATATGTTAATCTTTCAGAAAATAAAGAAAACATAAAATAAAAAGAAACATACTATGGTTGATATAATTCTTCAGAATTCACAATGATTAATAAAAATAATTACAGATCTTGTAGTAAATACCAGCTAAATTCATTTTATAAAAATTTGTCATGGATTTTTATGTTTAGTTTACTTACATTGTAGAATTACTTTTTATTTATTTGTAGTGGCAAATTTAATCCTTTTCTTCTTGTCAAGGAGCTTAGAGGGCTAGTATTATGAATTCCTGGGACACTTTCACCCCCCTGCAGTAATTATACATCTTTTATAAAATCTCTATCCTTTACTGATTTACTCCTGTTATTTTGAAGGTATCTCAGACATAATATCCTTTTTACCTGTAACTTTCATTGTGTATCTCTGAAATATATGGACTCCTGTTTAAAACATAAGTACAGTATCATTATCATACCAGAAATATTAACAATAAATCTATAATATTGTGAAATATCCAATTTAATTTTCAAATTCCTATGACCTAATAAATGTAATTTTACCTCTTTGTTTTGAATGTGTATTTAAATAAGAATCACACATTGCAAATGATCAAGTTGACTCTTGACATTCTTGTAATTTATAGATTCCTCTCTTTTTTTCCTCCTTGTAATTTTTGAAACACAGTCAGTTTTATTGTAGAATTTTCCAGTTTTTTTTATTGCATCTCTGTAGCGTCATTTAACATGCTCCTCTGTTCTCTATTCTCCTATAAATATGGCAGTTTGAGCTAGAGACTTGATCAGATTTGATTCATTTTTATCAGCAAGACTGCTTTATAGGTGTTTTATGTTCTTTCATCTGGAGGCATATATATGGTTACACTTCTTTCAGTATTGTTAGCAGATATCAATGCCTAGATCTGTTAATTACAAATGACTTCAAAATTGTGTTATTCTATTTATACCATTCCCATATTCTTTTTAGCTAGAATATTTGTATAAAATAGTCTTTTTCTTATCTATTGTTTGATTACCCTTTGGTGAAGTTTATATAAGAAAGGATGGATAGATGCTTTGTTTATATTCTTCAACATTGACAATTATTACTTAAAATTTTTTATTGTCATTATAAACAACAATTTAAACATATTTTATGTGTTTCCATGCATTGCAGTTACTATTATTATTGATACGCAAATTGTCTTATCTTTAGCCATTGGGGGGGCTGTTGTGAGTTGGCTCCAGAGTCCTTTCTGAGTCCCTTCAATAGTTCCTTGCTATCTTCTATGGCCAGATGTTTTTGGTCATCTTGTATATTTTTTGCCCCAGATCTGGAATCAGCCATATATCCGTGGAGTCCTTTATTTTTAGTAGGAAATGGTACTTGGATCCCACAGTCCAGGTGCTAGGAGTCCTCATTGCTACTAGGTTTTCTTTTGTTTCTAGCCTTTTTCAGTGGGCAGAACTAGGAAATACACCCTCACAAACACATATTTTTTATTGATAAGACTCATTGTCTTCATACTGATACTTCAAATTCTGAATAGTTTTTTTTACTTTTTTAAATTTTACATCAGTATCTTTTGTCTCCTATGATAAGAATCCTAGTTCTCAAGAACACTGAGTTAGTATACAGATGGTTTTTACTTAAATTCAGTTTGAGTATTGAAAATATTTTTAAATATGAAAGATATAAGAACTCTTACATGTTAATTCCTGCATTAGAACTTTTAAGAAAATTAATATTTGGCAGAATATGAACAGGGAAGACATAGTGTAGTTTTTAATTGTGTTGTTTTGGAAGGCAACTTGAAAACCATAAAAAATTATATAATGTATTACTTCATTTAAGGTCACATTATTTGTCTTGTCTCTTTTCATTCATCAAAGTAGGGAGGATTGTTAAACAACTGATAGTATAACCCTTTGGGACACTTGCCACTTTGGTCATTGATGAGAATGTTGAGAAAATTTGTGGTGTACATTAACGGGTAGGATCTTTATCTGCTTTATAAATATTATATGATATTTTAAAGTGACAATAATTAATATAATGTAGTACTTGCTAATGAATAAGCAGTTAAATCCTTTTGCTTCAAAATAAATTTCAAAATTAAAGAATTTAGTAATAGAAAAAAGAAACAAAACCAGAAGAAATTATACATGGATATGCAATTGTGTAGAGTGTGTTAGGCTTTCCAAGTATAACATCAAGTGAAGGAATAATATAGGATCAAATAAATCTAAATAAACCTTAAATGTAAATCACAAATGTGTATTTGACAAGAGCATTTATATATATTTTTACTCACTTCAGAGATATCGTTTGGAAGTTTGAGTCTCAGGCCAATGTTACACTTATACCCCATAAAGAAATGAAAATAAATTCAGCATTTTTTTGTCTAGCAAGAATGGTTGAATACTATTTTATTTTTGCATTATATAGATGGGAAAAATCTCTATTCTTGGGTCATTTCTAATTTACTTGGAATAAAAAGAATAGGTTGTCAAACAGTTCTTGACCATGCTTCTTCACGTTCTCCAGATATACTGCTGTTTTTCCATCTTCATTCCTTTCTGCTATATTCTTCATTCTCCACTTTCAGCTTACAAAATCACGTACCCCAAACAAGCCCAACTCTGATATCGTCTGATCCATGAATTTCTCCAGATATACTGCTGTTTTTCCATCTTCATTCCTTTCTGCTATATTCTTCATTCTCCAGTTTCAGCTTACAAAATCACGTACCCCAAACAAGCCCAACTCTGATATCGTCTGATCCATGAAATACTCTTTCTCTCCCATAGCCAAAATTATCTACCCTGCCTTTGAAGCCTCATAGATCATATTTACTTATTCCACTTTAATAATTACCTTAATAATTTTGTATTAAAATGAATTGAAAATGTAGAAGATAATTCTAGTAGAGAATATCTCTACTAGCCAGTGACACTTATTGCTATGTCATTCATTTTCATGGCTCATAACTTGTGTCTTCACTATACACAGTTGTATTTTGATTGTGACCAGGTATTTTAATTGCTATGGGCTTGAAAAGGACAGAGACAGAGTTTAATATGTAAATCGTGTGCCCACCAAATAAAGACCAAATGATACATGTCACGAAGGTTTTGGGTAATTTAAAAAAAAAAAATGTGGTAGGGGAATTAAGTTATCACATAGCACATGGTGGGATGGACATGGTAATGTAAAAGGATCTGCCACCGAATCAATCAGTCTTATATCATATTTGCAGTTTTATATCATATTTGCAACAAAGCTATCTGCTTATATCAACTCGAAGTATCTTGATTTTGTGGTTCTTTTATTTAATTTATAAATGTGTTTTGGTTTTTATAATCGTGATATATATGCATGGCATATATATACTCAATTTTATATTTGTATATGAATATCATTATGTGATGTAGGTCAATATCAGGAGTCTGGTAAGTATTTTTCTTTTAAAAGGATTTGTATTTTACTCACAGTTGGGAAATACTGATATAGACTGCATGGTATTACAGAGGTCAGAGGCAGAAGAAATCAACGTTAAGAGTAGGAAGAAATGCCAGTTTTGATTACAGCTGCATCTTGTTTTTATTATAACAACTAATGATTTTTGAGTCACTATGACAACTAGCCATTTGTCAAATAATCTAGAAAGAACTTTGGCCAGATGTTGAATCAGTGTATGTACTTATTGGTTGTTCCCTAAATATCCTAATTTAAAAATAAATTAAGGAGTTATTTTTAACTTTTTCCTGAAAGACGAGTTCAGTACTTTATTCCTTTAATCCCCCATGGATCTTCATATTGTCTTGATTTGCAGTGTATCAAGTTATAGCCTGTACATTTATTGTGTAAAATGTCTTATATATTCATATGGAGATCTTATATTCAAACGTCACGATATTTCTATAATTTTTTGAACATAGGTGCTTCTATTAGCCCATCTATGCTTTTACTTATAATTTCATTTTTATCTATATTCTCTTATATTATCTACTTATATTCCAAGTAGGTCAAAATGTCATTTCACTAGTTGTTATCACTTGTTTCACTTGAAAGTAAGATTTATTCAAAACCAGAGGAATAAAAACACTCATTTCATTATCTAAGTCTTGTGGTATTCCCCAGCTATTGCTTTTTGCCTTAAAAAATTGTTTTGTTAGATACTTATAAAAATCTGAAATATCTCTTAATATATATTTTATGATACTTTTTCTTTTTAAAAAATCAATACAAATTGATCATAGAATACCATAGTTTATTTAGAATCCAATGGGATTTTCAGAAGCATGCTTTTATTCAGCCAACAGATATGTAATTGGAACCATTTGGTTAATGAAGAAAATAATTTTAAATATAGCTTGACCTTAATTTTATAAAATTAGGTATTTTTGTGATTTATATCTTAGTATTTAGAGTAATACAAGACTGATTGTAGTTGAATTACGAGAATGCTATAAGCAATCTTATTTTGTTTGTATTCAATATTACTTTTACTTACCATTCTTGTTGCAAAAAAGACCTTGTCTTTTAGAGAGTACAGTGGTATTATTTACATTAATTCATGTGGCCTGGTGAAAAAAAATGCTATAACTCCTTTACTTAATGGGATTCTTCCCCTGTGGCAGTGCAAACGGCTAGAGCAGGAGCTTCATCATCTGAAAGAGCAGAACCAGACTTCAGCAAACAACATGAGACATCTGACTGCTGAAAACAATCAAGAACGTGCTCTGAAGGTAAATCTCCACTCCTTCTTGCAGGCAAATTAAGGTTGTAAGCCATTGGTGCCAGCTTTCTGTGCTGCATATATCAGTTGTGTACATTTCAGCAGAAGTGAGCTGTGGTGTTTGCCAACAACCTCTTCTTTAAACACAGATACAGCACCCTTCTGTTATGGTATTATTTTATTTCATGTATGTGTACGTGAAAACACATATTTTCTGAATTTTGAGTGGTGGTATATTAATAACTTTCCGCACATATTTATTCTGTTTCTATTCTTATTACCTTTTTTAAAAAAATTAACTTTTGTAGTTAATAAAAAGTGACCACCCTAAAAGAAAAAAAAAATAAATCATTGGCCTCTTCTTTGCAACTATATTTATTATAATAATTTTTTAAATGGCACATATTTATTCTGTTTCTATTCTTATTACCTTTTTTAAAAAAATTAACTTTTGTAGTTAATAAAAAGTGACCACCCTAAAAGAAAAAAAAATAAATCATTGGCCTCTTCTTTGCAACTATATTTATTATAATAATTTTTTAAATAACTTATAATATTAGTCATCCACAAAGTAGGTGCTCCTTGAAGAAAATGTGAATATGTTTGGGGATTGAAGGATTGCTTAGAGTGTTAACAACAGAAGAGAAAGAAAGATATTATATTCAACTAGAACTTGAAGCAACTGTACAATTCATGAGAAAAATTGTCTCATAGTAATATAGATACAGTAATCATGAAAAAAGTTATTTCAATTCTACTAGTTATGTTTTTTTCTTAAGATGCTGGTGAATTCCATTCTACTTTTTGTCTTTGCCCCAGTTCCTGGTTCCTCATATAGTGCCTGTGACACAATGATGGTCTATACCCTCAAGGTGCTTGCATTCTCATTAACAGGTTAAAAAAAAATCCATGGGAAACAGAAAAGATTCACCAGTGTATTATTGTGCAGTAAGAAAAGATTGCTACCAAGAGGATTGTTTTCTACTTTGTTATCTTAAATTTATTTTTGCTATAGATTACAGAGGAATATCATGGCATTAGCAGTATAACTCTCTAAGCTGGAATCATCTACCAGAATTGAGAAAAATGATGATGTTTTGATGTGGAAAATATTTTTAATCTGTCCAAAATGAGTGAGGGTTGGTGGAAGTCAGCTTTTTCTACAAAATGTATTTAGCTTCATTTTGAAATTCTTAGTGGTAGTCTTATAACTTTGCTATTATTGTTTAATGCACTTTCTCTTCTTTTCTATTGAATTTATAGATAGACCAGAACAACAAACGAGAAAGGAAAGAATTCTAGATTGCTGTGATTATTCTTAATTACGCTCAAGGAATTTACTATTTTGTGAAAATTAAGTATAATAATTTTTAAAATGTATACTTGCAAAATGGGAAAACAGTATTATTTTAAAGGCAGATCCCATAATGTATGCTAATTTATTATCAGTTTTAGGGGACAGATTTTATGCATTTGATGTTATATGGCTATTTCCATTTAAAACAACACCTAAAATGAAAATTCCAGTTTATTAAGTATGTAGTAACTGCATGGTCTTTATTACGGCATTTTTGGTTTTGTGTTTCTGTTAAATTTAATTAAATGGCAGCTGCTATTTATGGAGAGAAATAGATACACATTTGTAAGAGGTTATTAAAATTAGAAGGAAATACATAAACCTAAAGAGACCTGGTGCTTCAAAGGAAATACCAAATCCCTGTAAAATAGAAATCAGTTTACATGGTAGACTATGTAATTTAAAGTAGTTTATAAACATAACTACATTTTTGCTCCTAAAAAATTCTACATTAAAATCTTTTTTAGTTGCTCATCTTTTTATGCAAAAGTCTCGGATTTTTCTGTTGTTTTTTAATCCTTTAATACTTCGTCCATTAACTAAACCAACTTACATTCTTGGTATAGTATGGATGGGAGGAAGAATTAATTTTTAAAAACCTCTCTCATCAACTCAATCTTTCTTTTTTTTTTTTTGTCTTTTTTCGTGTCCGGCAACGGATCGCAACCCTCAGTGTTNCTCCCGCGCCTCGCTCAGCCAGTGAGCGGGAACCGGTCTGTATGTGGGATCCGAACCCTCGGGCGGGAGCGCCGCCACGCTTCCCAAGCGGCGCACTATCCAGTGCGCCACCGGGCCGGCCCCCAACTCAATCTTTCTTAAGCCTCTGTATTCATTTAAGCTCTTTTTAAAATGTCTTTCTTGCATAACACTAACTTTGAATAAGTTTTTAGTCATATTTCCTTATGAGAAACCCTATATCATGAAAATTATAAACATTCTGAGTCATTTTGTTGAAATTATTCTTACCTTTTAAAGATTTTGTTCTTTGGTGCTTTTATTATAGCAGTCTGTATCTTTAAGTTGCCATATAAGAAATGAATAAGTTTACCACCAAGCTATCTGGTGAGTAAACTGTCTCTCTTCTGAGCAGTATGCTTACCTTTTGCAGTTCATTTATAAGTATCTTTTTTAACTGATTTAATATTTAGTTAGTGTCCAAATGAGTGTTAGGAACAGCTTTTTAAAAAGGATCGCTGTCTCTAGAAGCTTTTAGTCTGCCAATAATTCTAGTATTTTATTATAAATAGTACTATTATTAATATCACTAATAAAGGTAAATGGAGTAGAGTAAGAGCTGAAAAATGCATGCTTTATTTCATTGACTTACACTGAAATTTCCTTTTTCATTTTATTAATTTACCTTCTATATCACACATCTTTAACTTCCTACAACTGGAGTTCTCCAATGTAATTCCATCGAAATCTTCTCTTTCTTAGATTATAAGTGATCTCTGATAGTTAATAAACCTGTGATACTTAATATTCATTGTCATATTCAACGTTCCAATCAAACTAAGGATAACACATTTCAATCTTGTTGGCCCCTCCTTCTTGAAACACTTTTTGGTAGTTCTCTTTTGCTATATCATCATCATTTTTCTTTTCTTTGATTGCTCTTATTTTAGTCTTAATCAGTGGTGCCTCTTTTTTTTTTTTTTTACCTATTCCTAAAATACAAGCATGTGCCTGGGTTTTGTAATTAGTTCCTTATTCTTTTTTTTTTAATTGACTTTGTTTTGTAGAGCAGTTTTAGGTTCACATCTAAACTGAGTGGAAAGTTCAGAGTGTTCCCATATACCCACTGCTCCCCTGACACTCACAGCCTCCCCTATTGTCAACATCCTGCTCCATAGTGGTACAGTTGTACACTCAATGACCCTACATTGACACATCATTCTAACCAAAAGTCCATGGTTTACATTAAGGTTCACTTGGTGTTGTACATTCAATAGGTTTTGATAAATGTGTAATGTCAAGTAGCCATTATAGTGTAATATGAAATAGTTTCACTGCTCAAAAAGTCCTTTGTGTTCTGCCTATTTATCCCTTCTAACTAACCCCTTCCAATCACTGATATCTTTACTGTCTCCATAGCTTTGCCTTTTCCAAAATGTCATATGATCGAATAATCATTCAATATATAGCCTTTTCATATTGGCTTCTTTCTCTTAGTAATGTACATTTAAACTCCCCCCATATCTTTTGATGGCTTTAGAGCTCATTTATTTGTAGTGCTGAATAATATTCCATTGTTTAAGTGTACCACAGTTTATTCACTCACCTACTGAAGAACATCTTGGTTGCTTCTAAGTTTTGGCATTTATGAATAAAGCTCCTGTAAACATCTGTGTACAGGTTTTCGTGTAGACATAAGTTTTTTAACTCATTTGAGAAAGTACCAAGGAGTGTGATTGCTGGATCATATGTAAAAGTATGTTTAGTTGTGTGAGAAACTACCAAACTGTCTTCCAACGTGGCAGTACCATTTTGCATTCTCACTTGTAATGAATGAGAGTTCCTGTTGCTCCATATCCTTGCCAGCATTTGCTATTTTTTTTTATTGTAGTCTTGTCTCTTCTCAGTTTCATTTGTTCTTATGGCATCCTCTATCACATATGTCCTAATGACTATCATATCTGCCCTTTCTCTTGGAGATCTTAATGTCTCCTTAACCTCAGCAAGTTTGAAACCAAATGCCTAATTTGACTTTGTAAGCCTTCTGCCTGGAATGAAGTCAGGACCTGAGACAGACACTATTGACTGAATAAGTCAACCTTTATTTCCAGTCATATTCTCCTTTGCATGCCTTTGCTATAAAAGCTGGGAAAGTTAAATATTTTCTCAGCCTTTCTTTTTGCCACTGAGACATGTCTACAGCAGAGGTGGGGGAAGAAGAAGGGTATCTCTGGAAAAGTTTTTGTTTTCTTGATATAATGGCAGATGAAACAAGCAGCATTCCTATTTCCCTTTTTGTTATCTTGAACACTTACCTGCTGTCTAGAACTGCAGAAGCCATTTTATAGTCATGAAGAAAAGGCTAAGAGAAGCTGGCTGTAACAGCATTGATCCCTTTAGCCAGCGAGTCACTGAGAGAACATTAAGCACCTGTATCCTGACTTCTTTTTCTAGCAAAAGGATAAGGTCCTCTTATGTTAAATCATTCTTTACACAAACACACACACACACACACACACACACACACACACACACACACAATTATTTACTGCCAAGTTGACCCATTAACATCAGTTAATTAATGGTACTACCATCCTCCTAAGGTGTGTAGGCCAAAACAATTGATGTAATCTTCATATCCTTTCAATCTCTCAACCACCACAAAGTAGTTTAGCATCCAGTCCTTCACTTATACAGTGGTTCTTTCCTTCCTATTTGTCTCACATTTTTCTTATATACCTTATGTCAAGTTTATGATCTAGATGATGATAGTATTCTCTAACTAATTTTCCTCATTTTTTCACCTATCTAATCAGTCATCACAGTGCCATCAGCTATCATTCTAAAACACAGGTAACACTGTTTTACTCAGAAATCTTTATTAAGTCTTGCATTTTCAGCAATACAAAAAAGTAATTATATAAACATCTTGACTAACCCTCCTAATAAAGACAATGAAAAGGAATGGATAAAATTTA